AAAAAACATTGATATTTTATGAGATATTTTTTTATTAATTACTGTTGTGTAAGAAAATAATTTAATGTATAGTCACTAACTATTGTAATAACTTAAAACCAATGTTGAAAAAAAAACTATGAATAAAGTTTGCTAAGATTATATTTTTTGATGGTTGAACATACTAATATGTTAAGTGCATAAATTTTAAAAATAATTTAACTTCTTGTGAACGAAATTAATATATCTCGAAAATTAAATGAATATAATATAAACCATGAAAATTAATTTTAATTAAATAACGCATAATTTTTTACATTTGTACTTTGGTAATATGGCTTGTTAAATAATCAAAAATAATTCATGACTTAAACGATTTATATTATTTCTCATTTTATACAAAAAAATTAGTTTGCTCGACTTTTATTTATAATTTAAAATGCCAATAAATATTGATTTATTGAATTTATAAATAATCAATATAATATGTAATAATAGTCATTTTGCACAACACTACTAAAACTTGATTTTAATGAATTTACTCATCAGTAGTCAGTCTGACAATTATATTTTTTATATTTATAATCATGAAGATTAGAATATTATATTCTTCATGGTTTTAATGTACCGTGGAAGATAATTTTCTTACATGTTTGAAAATATTTTAAAACTTAATATACAAGACATGAGGTATATAATCATAATTTATGAAATACTTATTTGTAATCAATAATCATGAAGATAGAAGCAATAATTATTTATATAATTTGTGTTTATTGCAAAATATCAGTATTATACTTAATTTATAATAATATATACATTGTACAAATAATGATTTTTATACAAAAAAAATGCACAGTGCAAAAACATTTTTAAATTTATTAACTTTTCTTATTTCTATTACATTCTAGTTATTAGTGCATCGATTATTCAAGCCTATGCATTCCAATATTTATCTTATTGTATGTTTAAGATGACACCACACCCGTATTTGTTGTCTTAGTCTAACAAACGCGTAACATACCAAATTTTACAGATACATTTTTAATCAGTTTTACTTCGTTTGCATAAAAATTAGAGTGACTAGCGTCTAGCCCTATTATGAAACTTGATGGTAAGAATATTATCTGTGCTTTAATGGAAGTTTTTTTACGATAATTCAGTTTTTAAGTGAGTTATGTGCGCATAATAAATTTAAAACAAAAATGCATATAACTCACATAAAAATTAAAATATCGTGAAAAAACTTCCAAAGAAGCATGTCATATATTGTTCTAACCATCAAGTTTCATAATAAGTCAATTCACTCTAATTTTTAAGCTAAAGGAATAAAACGTGAACTGCTYAGCGTAAATTTCCTATGTTACCTACGCGTTTGCAASACTGAGACAACGAATATGGGTGTTGCACCCTTCTAAGTTAAAGCATTCATTAAAGTACAAAAAATACCAATATTGTGGAACATTAAATTCAACCGCATTAATACAAAATGCATTCGTTAGTAGATAAGGTACTTTTTGATGTGTTTTCTTAATTTAATAATACGGACACTATCGAGTACGACATGTTCATCAACTGTAAATTATCAAAATATAATTAATTGCAAT